ATTTTGCTACTTTTATGATTCGTCTACCTCTACTTTCTTCAGGATACAAACATCAAGCATGCTCTGAAATGATTATTTAAACTTCATAAAATTTATGTTTGCCCCTTAGTAAGATGTAAAAATACCTATGTAACTGAGACATATTATGCCTGTAAGGACTAATTTTACTTAAAAATCATACACACAGCTACTATTGACCATACCTAGGAAAATGAGTTTGTAGGCATACATAAACTTTAATTAACACGATCATTTTTACGTTCAGGAAAAAAGTTTAAAATCTGTTTCAATTTTAAAGTAAGAAACAAAGTATGTATTTATACTTAAACACGTGAATTTGTGTTATAGACTGCCTTCTGATGTTGTTATTGTTGTTTCTCTCTCTGTTTTTTTAATTAATTTTTGTCATGAACTTGTAAGAATGGTCGAGTTACATTATGCCGCTTGCTAACATTGAAGAGTCTTTACGGACTTGTGACATAACCATGACATCATGCGAACTAATTATAATATCAATCATATTAATTTTTTAAGCATTTAGTTTATGTGAATCATTAGTTGCTATAACATTAATTGAAGGAAGGGTTGTTGCTAATATTAATTTAACTTGTAGCCAGACAAATTGGCACTATGTCTCTTTATGAATACCGGTATTTCTTTAAAGTTTTTATCATTATTGTTATCTAACGTAGTTGCAATAAGATAGTATTAATTTGAAATAAAACAAATGGGAATATTTCAAAGTAAGAAAGAAATTTTTGACGGATAGAAATAATGACAGCAACGAAATTCATTATTCCGGGTTTTTTAATGTGCAATATGTAATTATATACATGTATATCCAAATACAATATGTTGAATATGCATGAGTTATAATTTGAATTAATGTATTCACAACCAATCAGATTAATTTATCTGACTCAGAGATTTAAATGATTATTTAACTAACATAGATTTATCAATGACGCGCTGACCGCAATCGTATCTAGGTAAACAAGATGTCATAATAATTGGAAAACACTCTTCTAATAATTGAGATTACTTATTTATAACGTAGAGGTTTTAAATAAAAACAAACTATTCCAAATATTTAGTGTATTGTTAATCTGATAATATTTCATTTTTGTCATCGAGTTTGTAAAAGTTTGTTTAATTGTTTAGGTTTTTTTTAAATAATAACTAGAAATTCCGCTGTATATATGCAATACCAGTAATTGATTGTTCGGGTTTTTTGTTGTATACTATACTACGGTGTTATTAATTAAGTGCAGAAGAACCTATAATTGTATACAATAATTTCAATTTTATATCCAACTATAGTCAATGTGAATTCAGATTTTCGATTTTACTTTAAACTTATATACAGCGAATGTATTCAAAATTGGTAGTTTTCATCTTTCCATGTTGAAAACTTCCTAATATTGTTGTACAAAAGTTGTACAGTAGAAGATATAACAAACGTTATTTATTTTCGTAAAATTAAAATCTTCCAGCAATGAAGCATCGTCGAGAATTTGGAAATTCACTAAATTCTTTCTTAGGCGGAGTACAACTTAAATATGTATGTGCCATAAAAATAAGCATGTATATTTTATTTTTAGAAAGTGATATAATAGGATTTTGTGTCATCAGTAATTATTTGAACCTGTATATGGCCCAAAGTAGGGGGTTATTGTTTTCACTCACATAATCCAAGCATTAAACACGTCATTAAATGACAGATGAATCGGATCCTCCACCTGGTAACCTATGAGGCCAATACATATATAGACATCCTTTGTTCTGGACTTTTGCGAGAAACAATACAATTCGACCATTACACTGCTGGAAGAACTGAAAATGATAAGCCATCACCTCGAGTATAGAGACTGATCAGCCAGATTATGTGTTGTGACACTTAACTGACACACTTTCAATTTTCAAATATTGATAAAGGTCAGTTTCAAACATTTGCACAAGTCCATTTAAGAAGTTCAGCAATTTAAAGTCAAGGTTAAAAACGAAACTCCTTTTTTAATTCAAGGTGTAATCTTTTCTATTTCTTCATTGACAAAAAACAACAACAACAAAAAACATATCATCAGCTTATATGAATTGATATATCAAAAGGCAGCAGTAAATAAAAATATTTTTTAAAATAGGGCATTTCAATAAGGGAAATGACAGAAACATTAGTCAAAATGACATTTATCTATTATTTACGAATTTATCAATGCATGTTAAATTATCAGTTGTTTTGACAATGCCTATACAAAAGACAAACGCCTTGCATTTCTCTCGCAACAATGATTTCCGCCGTTTTGAATACATTTGTTTTACATTCTGTCATTATGAAAATATCCTACATTATATTTAGAGTAATTTCTTCTCCTCTTTTCTTTTGATAAGTCGCACCTATATCTATTGAAAACTTTTACCACATTCTTATTCAAATGACACGAATAAGTGCATCATTGAAAAATTGAAAAATGTTGTATCTATTCAGGTCAAGGTATGCGTGCCATAGGCAACTTTTTATTTCATTCTTTTTTATTTCTATTTATTTTTGTTAACATTGATGGGTGATTACATATGCTTACGAAGTTAAGATACTAATTTTTATTTTAAATTATTACTTTCCATGAAAATACTATGTATTTTTGTAAGAGTTTTTGCCGTTATTATATTGCTGTTTATTGCTGTACATATGTATATAAGGCCTTTTTGGAAATAAGAATTATGTGTATTATGTATTCTTAATATGTCGCCATCTCAATTTTTTAAAATTATTTTAAGTAGTAGTAGTATCCTAATAATTATACCTAATGCAATGACAAAATTGATATAAAAGCTATATGGAACTTATCAATAATGTTTAACTAATATAAATGATGTATGACCTGAATTAAATAGCGATATTGTCATACAATATTTATACAACAATAGAAACAACTAAAAAATAATGTCTACTAATTATTGGTGTATAATTTTTCTTTTCTTAGTACAAAATCATTGTTTACAATTTTTTTCTGAACATACATTTTCAGAATTTAAGTTTAGCATCTCTAATAATATACCGGTATCAGACGTTTCCTTAAATAATTATATACATTACATTCTAATATGAAATGGTATTTGTCTTCTAAGATGTTACAATGAAAAGATTTTCTATCATTTAAACGTGTACTATTCGGTTGAGTCCATCTACCTGATTCTATGTGCAATCTACGTATAAGACGAAACTCTTAACTCTAGTTAGATCCTTACCAAACCGTTCAACGTTGATAATAGTTAGATATGGTTAAACTTAAAAACAGAAATATGTCTATAAAGTAGAGCTCTACTAGAGTTATCTAATCTACAATGTACTTGATATAGTTTTGTACAAATTGGTCTTTCAGTCGTTGTTTCTCATGGTATAAAAACAGGTCTGTATTAGGCTTTAACACTTTGCATGACCATGCATCATAGAATCTTTATGAACATAAAATATTTTTCATTAATGAACACCAATTAGCTTTATTTTAGAAATTTTCACAATCAATTTTAATAAACTATTAACTTTATTGACAAAAATATTTTCACTTGTATGTAATATTTTAACCCAGTATATAATATATTATAATATTGCATTGTTTTGAAAGATATTCTACCTAGTTCGCCATGTATAAAATCATTCTGGGTTGTTTATTTTTACACCTAACGTACGTTTATAAAATTGCATATGTACTCTCAATTACATTACCATGTATAAAACCCCAGACATCGCTGCTATAATAAAGTATATGACTAACTAGTTTATCATATGTAAAGTAGAAATATAAACAAATTGATATAGGGATTTGTTCATTTTAAATGTAGCTTTCAACGCTTGTCCAGTAATTGTATTTTGAGCTTCTAAAAAAGATCCCCCCTGATGTAAAAACAATCCTAAACATGTAAATTTGCTAACTATATATCAATACAATTTTTCTTGTTATAAAAATGCATATTTCTAGGCAATTTCCCCTCTTTCTAAATAAATATCATTATTTCCGTCTTAGATGTTTTCACTGAAAGATTCCATCTTTCACAAACATTTAAACCCCTTTGTAGTTCGTCTTAATATTTGTAAAAAAAATCATCAACATATAAGATCAAGGCGATTTTAAATATATATTAACATCAAAACCTTCAATATCACTTTTTATAAATTTAAATTCAATGTCATTTAGAAACATGGAAAAGAGAAATGGAGATAAACACTCTCCTTGTTTTACACCGAGTCCCTTGATCTATTACAATATTTACCCTTGCTTTAACTGTTGTATACACAGACTTTAAAATATCTTAAATGATACCACGTAATCCCACATAAATTATCATACAATATAGTTAAAAGCTGTAGTAAAATCTATGAAAGCACAAAAGAGTTGTTGGCCAGTTAACTAGAGATAACTATTTTGATCTAAAGGAAGGGCAACCGTGTTTGATGAACGTGGGGCAACTGTGATGAATGTGTAGGATGTGGGACGGATACAGGGCACGCATGGCCATTTATATTGGGTAAGTCATTTTGTCGTATACTAGCTACCATACTGTGTGCTGGTGGTAGATGTAAAGCAATCCCATCCATTGTTTCATATCCAGACTTTCGATTCACGGGTGAGTGAATTGACAATGATAAAATATGCTTTGATTAAAAGCACAGACTATCAGCAGACGCGACGTTTAAGCTGCGTCTGAAAAATTTTAACATCTCTGAGACACTCATTTACAAAATTTCTGTCAGATCTCGGACAAAAAGTGAACCCTCAAAAGCAGCAAAATTACATAGAATTTGAAGACTCGGTTTCATTGAATCTATCCATAAATGTAGAGCTTGCCTCAAATTACAAAGCAAACAAATGTGTAATTATGTTCATTATATTTTTATTAACAATAAATAATTTATAGTTTTAACAATGCTAAGAGGAGGAAACATTTTAGTTTCAAATATCTATATTAATATTGTAAAATTGTTAGAAAAAAAATGAATTATTAAGATTTCGACAAAATTATCAAATACACATATTTCACAGGCTCAAAATCATAAAATATTGACATAGTGAGCATTATCTTTCTAAACATGTATAAGTAAATTTCACATAAACAGGAGAACAAAATTATCAATAAAATTGATCAAAAACTGTTTCTGTTATCTTGTCATTCGCTGTTGCTGCCTATCCATTGACGTGGAGATGAAGTAATTTTTTTTATATACTTCTCAACTCTTGACAAATTTCAGGTGAGAAACATCTATTTACCATGAAGCCGTTTCCCTGTGTATAATAATAGTAATGGTTTAAATACATATCTTGTTTTAAATTTTATTTAATACACGGATGCTCTTAAGGAGCGCAAAAGTCCTTTAAATTAGTATCGATGGAAGTGATAAAATTTATTTGACATAATTTGTTGTTTTGTTATTCAGTGTTCGTCAAGGATGTTTGTTGTTGTTGACCATTGTGATAATCTATTTTTTATATAAAAACATAAGCGTCAGATCAAATATATATCAACACTTACATATGAACTTAATAACACCAGATGCATCCGTGTAATATGTACAATATCAGGATATCAGGATAAAATTAGAAATAACAACAAACTTGCTTTATAACTATATGTCTGCTGCACAAATTATTGTTTGAAGTTTACAAAATATTACTTCCAATTTTTTTTTTTACATTTTATTTTATAGTTTTAAAATTTTATTTCCATTTTATGTTTACAATAAGTAAACAATGTAAGCATATTGAATATGGTAGTAAAAGCGAATGGTGCATAGACCTAATCAATGCTAACGGATAAAATATTTAAAATTGCAAAATAATATTTTTTTCCGAAACATTTTATTCTATTTACTTACAATTCTTATAAATAACAGAGACATCCTATGTTACAATTGTTTGGTGTTAATATTGCCAAATGCGAACTGTAATCTATAAAGTTGGTTTATTTACTGTTAAGTACATGTATTTAAGATAATTTTTTAGTTTGAAATTTTAAAAACAACTTTCAACTTTACTTTAGCGAGCAGTATTTATATATCATAACCGGTTAAATAATATTATAGTCAGAGACCTACCTGTTTTCTAAATGTTGCAGCACAACAACATCTACTGGTGGCTCTAGGACCAGAGGTTTCAATCTCACATGTCGTGGAATCTCTGCTTATTCTACACGTACAATTGTTGCTGCCTCTAGTGCTCATTGTCACGTGAATAAGGACGGCGAACATTAGGGCAAGAAATTGAACTGTTTTCATGTATTTCATCTGCAAGTATACAAATAGATAAATGTTACAAACAGAACTAATTAAAAAAATATAAGAAATTAAACAATATACTCGTATATTACCTGCGTCAGTAAAATATATTTTAATAAATTTGTAACTTTCATCTGGTCACAAACTTACATGTCATCAGTATACCTTCTCACATTCTCAATGTTACCATAGTTTTACTTTTTATGCTCTTATTCGTTACACTCAAACGAGCATAAATCATTTACCTTCTTTAAAGTTACATTAAATAAATATGTTAAAATATTTTTGCCGTCGGCCTAAAAACCAAGCATTCTACAGTTTCATTAACCTTTTTAACAGTATCGTTGTAAATCTCATCAAATATTGTTCATAAATTAGGATTTTAAATGGAAAACCCCACGGTAACACTAAAGTTCGTATACGAATTTTAACATGCAAATGAAGACTATAATCAGCTCGTGTATGCGCTACGTCACGGAGTTATAGTTGCTATCCGGAAAACAGCAAATATAAGATTTTCTTGTGCAAAACACACTTTTACCGTTTAAGCTTCACGGTGCACTAGGCCTGTGGTTCAGAAAAAATAATCATCTCATAAAAAAGATTAAATTTGTATGAAAATATCCGTTACAATGCGGAAATATACCGTTAAATTAGGACTGCTACTTATAGTCATGTTTGTTGATTTAATATTGATGTACGGATGATCTGAAGGCGGAGTTTCTCATGCAAACAGAAATTGTACTTCCGAATTCGCCACAATGAGGTTGCACATTTGTATGCTCATTAAACTCATTTTGGTTGCCTGGACACCAAAATAAGATCTGGAGTCGATATGAAACCCAATTTATTAATGAAATGTCGCTATTTCTTTTTTTATGAAATCTATTTAATGTAACTTTAATAATACACCTTTGAAAAAATAAACAACACAACACAGAGTTTAAAGAGGCTAGAGGGAGTATTTCTAAGCCGTCTCCACTTATTTTCCCAACCAGCATAAAAAAATTCTGGATATAAAACTACATATCATTTTTTGTTAAGACAAAAGTCCAAAAAAGCTTCCACATGACTTATACGAGTAAGAAATTTTCTAAGCAAATTAATCTGTTAAAATATGCCAAATAAAGTAAAGTAAAGAAATATAAACTATCCAATATAACTGAATATGAGAATTTCATAAAAAACAGAAGTTTTTGAAAATGCTCGAAAAGTCATGTTGCTGCGAGCGGGATACCCAACCCTACTCCAACGGGGGAGGGGTGGGTTTTGTTGAAGGATGAATCCAGGCTCAAGCCCAGCGGCTCCTTCGAACCTACCTGACATAAAACCCAAATTAAGCGGTCAGAAATTGTATGTCATAATGGGAAAAGGAAACGAATTTTGAAAATTACAAATAGGCAAAAACACAGATAATTTCTCCATGAAATAAACTCATTTCATGTACATAATTGTATGCAATTAGAATAATAATTCACAGTGAATCAAAACAGAATTAAATGAATATGCCTCATCGATTTTGAAAGTCAATGGATATTATTTATTTTGCATATTAAGACACATGTTTACTTTGTTCCGAGCTGTGCATAATCCTGAGAAAGAAAACAATTGTAAAAACATTTACCAAACTTTCTGTACTGGCATGCGAGCAGTTTCCGTACAAAAATCGTAGTTACTTAATCATTATTTTTTATTACGCTCACTCACCAAAATTTGAATGTTACACATCAATATTCGGCTCGTCACACAAATCATGGAAATTCCATGATGTTCTAAACATAGAATAACCCTTAGTTATGAGGCCTCATATGGGGTACCGAAATTATCCATTATTTTGTATGAAGAGAAGTAGTTCCCGTACATAAAATTTAACCCATTATAATTATACAATTTTATTATATCGGACCTATTTTTCATTTATAATTGTTGAACAGACCATTTTCTAAGAGATAAATAGATGTAATTCAGAAAATAGAAAGTAGACTAAACGCGTGTATCTATTACCCGGTACCGTTACCCCCAACGCATTCAAATGCGATAGCTTGCTTGTATGCATGATATTTTACGCATCAAAGCCATAAAATTATTTTATATAGTAATATTGGTCAAAATTCTGATAATTAAACAAGTTTTCATCACATTGCCTTCTTATCTGTAAACAGGTGGTATTAGTGGAAAACCCTTTAACATGCCTCACGTGTAAGTATGTTTGCGCATGCGCGCAAAGACGGAATTTCCCCCAGATAAAACAAGGTCACGTTTTGACAACGCACAGGTGAAAGTGATTTAAAATGAGACTTTTTATACGTACTGCCGAACTGACACTTAGATTTTGTCTCGTTTATGTATCTGCTTGATTTGAAATGAATTTTTGAAGAATGCATGTAAAAATCAAGCGTTTAAATGAAAAATACGGGTACTGCTTCTGTACGGGAACTGCTCGCATGCCAGTATAGTATAAGCGAAAATATTTCAATATTTTCGGAAATTTCACATCTAAACTGCTTGACAAATAAACCTCGAATGCCCGCTTTACTAATGACAAGAAACTCTTGCAATATTGCCGCCAAAAACATAACTCCCGATTACTTCCTTATAATGAAATACAAAGTTAGGTGTATGATTCCGCACGAATTTATATTACGTGGATTCCGATAATAAATACATACATTTTATAAAGTAAAAATAATCAAATGAACACGTAAGAATTGTATGAATACACGACAAAACTCCATATTATGTACTGCAGGAAGACTGCAACAAAAGGTAAAGAGATACGGCTAGGGTTATGAAAACAAGATTAATGCATGGAAAATCTAGACGTTCTTTAAGCTAAATACAGCTTTAGAATATTACCAAAATCTTTTATATTTAATTTTGACGCATTTAGCTTTTCTTTTTAAGGAAGGAACCTTGATGCCCGTTTGTGTCTTATCCGCATTGTCAATATAAAACCGACCGACGAATTCAGCGGAAGGACATTTTAGGTGCTCCGAACCCAACGTTTTAAAGCTACTTATTTTCTCGCAAATCACAAAACATTCTTTTGTTAAAACGATTGAATTACTTGTTCATTTTCAATAAGTTTATTTCATTTATGATATTATAGGAATATGATTTATTTATCAAAATTTTAAAAAGTTTTACATAAACATTAATTTTGGCGACATACCTTGAAGTATCACAAGCAATTTTTATAAAATCCTCTGAACAGCGTTCTTCACAGCACGTTAAGTTAAGGGTCTTGTCCAAACTCAAATATTGTTAAGACTTCTTTTTCAGAAGTCGGTATATATAGAGGTGTATGCACTTTGTTGACTGTACGATATTCATAAAGTTGCTGTGTCATTTTCCAAAGGAGTTCTTTAAGCACAGCATAAAGTTTTTATTTATTTTCTGTTGTTTTTTTATTATTGACTCCAATCAAACTGTATTTTTGTTAACTAAAAATCATCATACAATTACTTTAAGTTTAAGTGTATATCCATTTCCCTCCCGTTTGTCGCCATATCCGTATGTATTATTTCTTCAAAGTGTAAGGCGTACCTAAATCTATATCACCTTTGTCAATGAGCCTATTATTAAGTTAATGCAGCGTCGTGATCATGTTTAATTGACTTGGCTCACGGTATATGTATCATATATTTTATCTTTATTTGTCAGTTTAACAGATACGTTTATTACTCATTGAAAAAATTATCCGCCATGTCAGCTTCAAGCTTCCAGATTTTTCCATATTGAATGTCTTAATTAATATAATGTATTTCTAACACCACAAGTATGTTACCCGGCTTAGCTCAATAGAGAGAGCGTCGAATTAATAACCCAGGATCCAGAAATTTGACCAAAAATGTGTTAAGATCGGCAAAATATTAAGTAAAACAAGCAACACAACAAATGAATGTTGCGGTATAAAGGCAGTATGTGGGATATTTTATTCTCATTGATAAACAATGAAAATGATGCAAGGAATATTAAAGATGTGCCTTTTTTCTGAATCATTTTATTGCATTCAAGGTCAAGTCTTTATGTAAGCTATGTAAAGTATGCAAAGTATTTAATCTTGTACACATATAACTGATAATGTAATAATATAAAAGATATCATTTAAAACTCCTGGGCAAATTGATATGAAATCTGATATTTAGATTTAATAATGCTATTAATAAGGATATCAGTGACCTAGTTGTTAAGGTGTCTGATTCTCATCCCATGGATTGGTGGTTCGACCCATACCGGAGTTATGAACATATTTCCTTATATCAGTACTAAATAAATGTACTATGTGATAAAATATACGGTAAAATTAATATGAATAAAAGACAAAAACAATGTAAAAAATGGGAATATCATCACGTGTTAAGAAGATATAGTTAAATAGAAATAATTTGAGATGGAGATTATATCTCTTTGTTCTTGTTGATGACAGTTACATTATGTAACACAATATAGGAAGCGTGGAAATTCTGCTAAATGCCTACTCTAAGGTTTTAGGTTATGTCATGTTACCCAGGTACCATATCTCATTAAATTTTCATGTGCCTGAAATACTGTCAAGTGGAGAGGTACATGATTTGTTCCTCAGCATCCCAACTCCAAGATAAACAAAGCAATTTTACGGTACATGGTGAAGCTTGCAAAACCGAATGTGTATTGCAACAACTGATTAATAAACCTAATAAGTGATAATCAAAGCTGCTCATTTTACAACTCATGTCACGTGTAAGCTTTTTATTTAAGCTGATGACATTCAAAAATTCGTTAAGTCATTTCTGAAATAATTCACTCAACGACTGGGTTTAATGTTTGACTAGACAAGCCTTTCTTCTTTATTAGTAGCAGACCTTTATTTCTCAATAGAAACATCCTACATATAATTGAAATCAGACCCTTTGTCGCCACTACCTTATATCAAAATGTTTAATTGGCTTTAATCACGGTATATGTATCTTTATATTCAGTTATTTGAACTGACTTAAGTTTGAGTTACTGCTCGTGGTATGATTAAGTCTGAAACTGGTATTGTATCGTATGTGAAATAAAGTAAAAAGTCGGGGTATTTTTTTATTTTTTTTCTTCTTTTTTGTGTGTAAATAGAACAGATAGGTCCTGTTACTTTCTTTACCTTGTTTTCTATTATTTGTCTAGTGAACTCAGATTATTACAGTAAGATATTATTAGCAAATTTACAATTAACAATGTCCATTGTAGTGATATCAACAGACAATTTAAGGTTGAATTCGTATCATAGTGGAGTACATTAAACCACAATCCGGTTAGTACATCTTATGACGTAATGTGGCTAAAAAAGGGGATTCTATGCAAAGCAATTTGTTATAAATATCTAAAAATGGGTTAAAATTTAAAGATATTTTATGTCATAAAATATGTGAACAAAACTTTAATCAAACCCGAGCTTGCAACATGTTCTATTTTGCCGTTTTTGGCGTTCTTAAGGACTTCCGTTTTCCTCTATATTATAATAAATATCTAAGAAGTTGGGGATTTTTCCAACCGAAAGCCGATCTAAAATCAGTTTGACTTTTTGTAAAATTTACAGGGAAAAACTGAATATAAGAAGAGTTTCCATTGGTTATTTAAAATTACAAAATGAAATCTGAGATTTTAAAATAAGACAAGAAGGAGAGTTTTTGTCATTCCCAGAAAGTTCTAAACTGAATGTAAAGGATTGTTCTTGTCATTATAAAATAAAATATAAAGGATAGTTAACAATACTTCCTCCCACAAAACATTTTACACTGCATTCAGATCTCATTACATTTCAATTGAACTTACTGAGTTTATTTTACAGAAGATCTGATTTTTAAATTTTGTCCAAAATAACGAGAATAATATCAGAACTTATCAGGTACGTTTAGTCTATGACGTCCAATGAGTGTTTGGTATATTATATGATTATTGAAGTGTTCAATTTAAATACATGTGTAATGCATTTGTAAAAATGTATTTGCCTACCGACTGCGTAACTCTTGGAGTTAGAAATTGAATTCACTTACCGAAACATGATAGTTTCGTCTAGAAACACATTCGTCTTTAAATGTTCAATTTTTCAAGATAAATAACATAAAATATGCGTTCAACTTTGCGTTGAAAACTAAGAACTAACATTATGCTAGTTAACAAGATTTTTTCGTCCGATTATCTTTTTTTAAAGATACTACTGTTTATTTTGATTTATGTAATTTACTTTTTTAGAAACCTTGACATAGCTTGACGTTATCTTTAATTGTATATTTATGTATTCACTTCACGTTTACTTATTATAAAAATCTGTCCATGCTGAAATGATATGATAGACATGGCTTGTTTTTTGTTATTGAATATTTTATTTTAGGTTAAATGTATTTCAATATGAAAATGAGAACAAATGTATTTCAAATGGTTAAAATGCAGTTAAAGAATTATATTTAAATTTGAAAAGAATAATTCCGAAATACTTGTTTGAAGGAAATGTTTTCTTAGAGAGACAGGTACATGCATGGACTCGTAGCTAAACGATTAAAAACCTATTTAAAATTTAATAATTTGTTCTGTCGTATCATCAAATTTTAACCTAGATAATACAGATGGTCTAACCATTAATGAAGTTTGTCTTTTGATTCTATTCTTCACGGATGCAAAAACGATTCAATGTATTCAATAAATAAGGGGAAAAAATGTCGGCGACTTTGCCTGACTCTGAATCTCCAACCGCGATTTTAACATAATCTAAAAATTGATTCTTAAATTTTACACTCGGCTTTACAATACTGTATATGATAAAAATGTGTGTAAAAATCACCCAGGTTCAATTTTCAATGTTGAGAGTTATGTTTTTCAACGAGGTCATAATTTAATGGTACACTGGAGCTTTTTATTCTGTTTACTATGCAACAGAGACATTCTATGTAACAATTTGTTTTAGAATTTACCATGAATCTATGGAAAAACAAATTTTACTGTTAATAAATTTCATGAAATTATTTCATTAGATATACCTATATACCCTTTTACTGTTACGAGATAAAAACATGATAAAATATTTCGTTAGCTATTTGATGAATGACACTATATCAAATATCAGGTAAAAATGAATTGATAGAAACCTTAGGAGTGATTTTGGTTTGTTAGCATTAATCATTCAGAATTAAGCCGTATAAAATGCTATATTTGGTATATTTTATTTGTGTAACCGCAAGTGAAGGTTGCGGTTTATAGTAGGTTCAGAGGTATTTATGTGGGACTCGTTTATTAATTAACCATTAACACAAGGTTAAGGAAGAATCTTTATCCCTTTTTTATAATTGCATAATATATAAAACCGCAAGGTCGTCATGTGGTAAATAATAGGCATTTAAAGTATGCCAGGTATATGCATCTTAAAGCTGTTGAATATACATTTGTATGTATAATTTTCGGAGAGGGGTGGGGGGTTGTGGAATATTTTGCAAATGATACACATGGTACATATGTTTTGGTTATTTAAAGTCAATAACATATATAAAACACGTGGGCTTATCTTTTTACAACTATATTATCTCATAAACGGATTAAATAGATATGCAAAAGAAGTTTTAAAATATTAAATAAGTATAAACAATGTGATGCATTTTGTAATAAAGAATGAGAAGTGTGCAAATATGAATACTTCTAGAACGTTACTGGAGTGATTTGAGAATGATTGCCGAAGGCATCTAAATCGAAGTTAATGAATCTCATTTAAGGCCAAAAATTATTAGAACGATTCTACAAAAATTGTTTTATGCGCTTGCTACGCTTCAAAATACGACTTTACTTTAACGAAAAATTAACATCGAAATAGTATAAAAATTAACGCTACCAACAGCGGTTAATTGCCTTTTCAATCCTTTAAACTGTAGAAATTGATAATTGTTTTCTTAATGCGTTTTACGAAATCGAAGGATTGGCTTATAAGCCAAGCGACAGGGCGATATTGCAGCAACGCGACGCATGACAACCCTTATATAAATGTTATTTGGTATTTTTTACTGTTTTCTAAATTTCTAAAAACGTCAACGTTTGCGAACTGTTGACCGGGCAATAGTTTCGACTGTTTCCCTCGCGTGTTCTTACGTCATTGACGTCATATAGATTCCACGTGACGTGACATAGTTAAAGTATTAAGTTTAATTATGAACATATGTGGAAGACTATTTCTTGTTCCTTTTTTTTCTTCTGCAAGTACTGTTAGAATAGTAATTGATCAGCTAATAAAACAGTTATTTCATATGTAATTTGGGAACAGTCAAACAGTTGTCTCTCGGTGTCGGGGATAGTGTTTTGAACTGTTGCCCTCGGCCTACGGCCTTGGGCACAGTTCAAAACACTTCCCTCTCCACCTCGGGCCAACAGTTTGACTGTTTCCAAATTACATATGAAATAACTGTACTATTAAATGTTTCGAACAAAATGTGACAGTGATCGTTATAGCTACAATATCGCCAAGCACTATTACATGATCGAGTAAACCGAGTACCGAATTTTTTGTACATTTATT